AACAAGAGAGTCTTAAGTGCCTCAGATGCAGATAGCCTGAGGGTTGTCTGTTAGGAAACAGTGAATTAAGAAGAGATTGATTTCAGGGTCTGAGAAGGGAAAGAGCTTCAACTGGCCCCAACAATGCAAAAAGTAGGGTGATAAACTCATTCTAATTTACCCAGAACTTTGTCAGTGTTAGCAGGGACAATCCCACATTCCAAGAGACAATTCAGTCCTATATATACTGCAACAATCTGCCACCCTAGCATAAAGGGACATGCCATTGTGTCAGGAGCTCACAGAAGACCTAAGCGTCATCACCTCAATCTCATGCATTCCTCTAGACTTCGTATTGGACCAAGCTTCCTCCACCCACACACACTTCAACTGACTCCTTTCTTGACTCAAATCTGTGATACATACTAAGGTCAGAACTGATGCTTAAAAACTCATTAGGTCCTGAGTTGAAGATACTACTTTCAGAGGTTACATATCTACCACAATTTTCCCTACCCTCGTGCCTGGAAAGAAAGTATTCCAGGAAACAAAAGGCAAAAAGGGAGTGGTGGGGGGCACGTTGACTATGGTGGCTCATGCCTACAATTTTAGGAGGCTGAGAAGTGGGAGTATCACTTGAGCCCAGGAGCTCCAGAGTACAGAGAGCCATGATTGGACCACTGCACTCCAGCCTAGGTAACAAAGTGAGACCTTGTCTAAAACAAAACAAAACAAAAAGTCAAAGAGTACACTACCATCTGGACAACTGTCTATATAAGAATCCTAATGTAATGCACAAGGCTGGTCCTGGGGCCTCATGCCTGAGCTTGCATCTACCACTAACGAGACATGTGACCTTGGACAAATTACCTCCACTCTACGTACCTTTGTTTCCTCATCCGTAAAGTGAAAATATTAATAATCATAGTATTGTCTACTTCATAGGATGAAATTAGTCAAGACAGGCAGTGCTCCTTGGAAAGTGCCTGACACACAGCAACCACTCCATAAATGCCGTTTTTCTTATTAAACTCCTAATGTTTAAGATAACGGAACCACTCACAGTTACTTATATGAATAATGAGACTTTCAGCACCCAAGCAAACTAACTTGTAACATTCAAAGTCCTTTTAAACACGTAGTTTCTTTTCCTATCATTGAAAATACCATGTGGAAAAATCCACACTGCACTTTAGCCTTTCTGCAGGGTCGGTGGGAGGAAAGATGAATCAGCCGCACACAAGATGTCTGTTAGTTCCCCAGCCAGCCTAGAACCTCCAGGACACTCCCAAGCACAGGGAGGAGGCTTGGAAACATTTCAAAGCCTGCCGACACACAGATTGCTTCTGGTCGCCAGTGGATTAGTGTTGGTGTTATGTCCTTAGCTGCACACTTCACCTCCGTATGTCCCAGCCCTCTTCACCTTTCCCTCTGACTGTGACAATGAGAATATTGAAATTGATAAGTTCGCCTTCCTTGCTCCACAGACTCAAGTGCTTTGAAATGAAAAATGGCTCAGGAGGAAGAAGCCAAGACAGAGGCTGGGAGGACACAGATGGAAGTTAGAATTGGCAGGATCTGAAGTCTAGAGAAAGAGGCAGAGAGCACAGTGGACTAGGAGTGAGAATACTGGTGTTCTCCCTCCCCTTGATCACTACTTAGTAGTAGGGACAGGTTATTTTAATTTAATGGACCCTGAAATCTCTCCTCTGTAAAATAAAGGCATTGTGCCAGATAAACAGCTGTCATCCCTTCTAGTTGTAAATATCCTGAGAATTTTTACAATAAAAAGCCAGCCAGCTGTCTTTAGCCTTATTCCTGTCTTCCATAAGCACCGCCCTGTTTGTTATTGGGTTACAGTGCACTCTTCTAATGCTCATTCTCAGTTTGAAACCACCTAATCACACGTTTGAATTTCCTGCTAAACTAGAGGTTCCTTAATGGCACAGACTTTGTTTTAATCTCATTTTATCTCTAGAGCTTAGAGCTATGCCTGACATGGAAAGATTTTCAAAGGGTGTTTCCAGAATTGAACCCATGCATCGGCAGTCTCCTCATTCATGTCGTTAGTCAGAGACCCAACAAGAAACAGACAGCCCACGCACACAGGGCAATTGAGGCGAGAGAACTCTTGCCGAGTGCGGTGGCTCATGCCTGTAATCCCAGCACTTTGGGAGGCTGAGGTGGGTGGATCACCTCAGGTCAGGAGTTCGAGACCAGGAAATCTGAGAAAGTCATGGAAGCTGTAGGTGCTGACAGCGTCCTGCCTGACCTTATTTAGAAGAAAGCAATTGACCTGTATCTCAGCAGGGATGGACTCCCTAGCCACATACCTCCTCCGCAACCTCTCTCTCCCTTCCTTTTCCCCTCCAGCCCTTCCATCTCCCACCAGCACCTCCATTGGCTGAACACAATGGGAAGCAAGAATGCATGGCCAAGTGTCCAGGCAGTACATAAAGGACACTGAGTGGGGTGGAGAGCCTACCTGGGAAAAAGATGAACAGAAAACATCCATCACACTCAGCTCCCAGCACCACTGCCTCCTCCTTTTAAAATTCCTGTGAGGTTGGGTGTGGTGGCTCACTCCTATAATCTCAACACTTTGGAAGTCCAAGGTGGGATGATTGCTTGAGCCCAAGAATTCGAGACCAGCCTGGGCAATCTAGTGGGACCCCATCTCTAAAAAAATATTTTAAAATTAGCCGGGCATGGTGGTACACACCTATAGTTTCAGCCACCCAGGAGGTTGAGGTGAGAGGATCACCTGAGCCTGGGAGTTTGAGGCTACAGTGACCTATGATCATGCCACTGCACTCCAGCCCAGCAACAAAGCAAGACCAAAAAAAAAAAAAAAAAAAAAGAAAGAAAGAAAGAAAGAGAGAGAGAGAGAGAAAGAAAGAAAAAGAAAGAAAGGAAGAAAGAAAGAACAAAAGAAAGAAAGAAAAGAAAGAAAGGAAAGGAAATAAATGACTATTTATTCAGGTAACATTTCTTCAGCAAATGTGTACGTTTTGCTTTATGTGTACACAGTGCTTTATAAGTGTTGCCTACTTTTTAGCTAGCATACATTTTTTTAACCAACCAGACTGCCATCTCTAATACATTCTTGCTGTATACATAGCACAAAATATGTGCAACTTGAATGACCACTTTCATAAAAAAAAAAAAAAAAAAAGTTTTCAAAACAAATTATACAACTGGTTATCCTTAGTGTGTTACCCAATTTCTAAGTCTCTGCAAAGAGCCAAATCAAATGTATAGCGTGGCTCATTGCCCTGTAGAATGTTTCTGTCGAATGGTGATGATGGCGGCAAAGTGTGAGTCTTCCCCCTCAGAAGACTGGCCTTGGAATTCACTTCATAGTAGTTCCTGGAACCCGTTCAGTCAATATGCCTCTGTTCATACTCACTAGGAGTAAAGTACTGTACCAGATACTCGAGAAATCAAAGGTTAATTTGACTTAGACTTTGTCCTGGGAATTAGAGCACAGTGGGAGACAGAAAGTGTTGATGTAATTAGGTGAAAATAAGGAAAAAACAATCCCAAGACAAAAAGAGATGCAGTGCTGGGAAAGTTCTGAGTAACAGCAATGATTTTGATGGAGAAATTTAGAATAGGCTTCATTTTGGTTAGATCTTGGAGACCATGTGTTCTTTGGTCATGAAGAGATAAAAGAAGGAATATGCTACACACATGTGGCTGAAAGCTTTCGGGAAAAACAGCTCTGTTTGTTTCCCTGAGAGTTCAAAGAAAGTGCCTGAGAGGTCTGTGATTAGGAAAATATGTGCTGGAATCAGATATGGAGAGCCTTGAATGGCAAGCTGAGTCTGAACCACCTTTCTGCTGGCCATAGGGAGCCAGTGAACGATTTTGAGCCAATGATGAAAGGTGGAACTTCAACGAAAAATAATAGCAGAGGACAATGCACCGAGACCTTTCTGTGCAAGCACAGTTCTTCAGACCGATCCCCAGCGGGCAGGAGTATGTTATCACTGCTATTGTTTAGAATTGCAGCTGCAGGATGATAATAAAAAGCATCCAGATGATTCGTTGGTTTCATTATTCTTCCTGAACTCTCTACGAACAATGCATACCCCGCCTTGGCTACGGCCTCTTGCCTGTATCTGGGGCAAACGCTACACACATATCAACTCATTTAATCTTCAAAACATCCCTGTGAGTTAGATACCATTATTATTGTCAGAGAAGCACAAAGAGATAAAGTGATTTTCTCAAGATAACAAGGCTGGTAAAAGGCAGAGTCAGAATTTGAATGCTGGCTGTTTGACTGCTAACAACTACTCCCACTGGCCTGGCAGGAAGATTATAACCTTCTTGAAATCAGGGGTTATGCCTATTAAAGTTAGCTCCATGCAACCCATTGGTAAACAGGAATTTAAAAAGTAGTTATTTTGTGGTGATTCCAGGCCTGAAAAAAGGATCCAGTTTTCTATACACAAAAGATCCTAAGCAGTTATATCTTGATTTTAAGTTGGTTCTATTTTGAGTTCCAGTAGACATAAATCAGGGTGTTTACTAAGAATCCAGGCATATTTGACAGAAAGCAAATAACTACAATTGTCTAATCAGGCATGTGGAGATAAATGCCATGCCAGCCACTGCATGGGCAGGTCAGATAGTTAACATTCTCAGTGCTTAAATGAAATCAGTTCTTGCATTCTGACTCTACCAGCTATTTGCAGCATTTCTTTTCAAGTGGTCCAGGTGCTATTGTTCAAAATGATTGTTCTTATTATTAAACCCTTTAAGTATTCTAAATGCCAAGGGCGAAATCTCCTTGTCACACTGTTTCAAGTGTGATTAGGCATTTAAAAAAATTTCCTATTATCAGTTATTATTCAGCACTGACATTGCACCTTGGATAAGAAAGCTTTCTGATTCATCGATTCAGCAATCACAGTTTCAATGTGTGATGCTTCCTGATTATAAGTGCTTTTCCAGCCTTTCCCTTTGTATTAGTCAATTTTCACATTGCTATAAAGACATACCTGAGACTGGGTAATTTATAAAGGAAAGAGGGTTAATTGACCCACAGTTCCACATGGCTGGGGAGGCCTCAAGAAACTTATAATCATGCCAAAGGCAAAGGAGAAGCAAGCTAAGATCTTCTCTCACATGGTGGCAGGAGAGAGAGGATGAGAAATGAAGGGGGAAGAGCCCCTTATAAAGTCATGATATCTAGTGAGAATTCACTGCCATGAGAACAGCATGTAGGAAACTGCCCCCATAATCCAATCACTTCCCACCAGGTCTCTCCCTAAACACCTGGGGATTACAATTCAGGATGAGATTTGGGTGAGGACACAGAGCCTAACCATATTACCCTCCCATCGTGCCTTCTTCCTACCTCATCCTCCTCCGCCTAATCCATTTCTTTCCCTCTTTACCGCCACCTCCTCCTCCGTCACCACCACTGCCACAGTGCCCGGTGGGGGCTGCTGGCGCAGGTACTGAAGCTGGCACATGCAAGCGGACCTGGGCTTGGCTCAAGCTCCTACAGATTAAAAGTTAACGTAATAATAATAATAGCAACAATAGCAACTGCTAGCACCCATTTGGAGGTTACCACTTTACCTGCACAGTTTCATTTAATCTTCGGGACAACACTAGATAGTCAGAACTATTGCTATCCCCAATTTCTTGTGAGGGAAACCTCAAAGGGGGTTAATGAAATAGTCAAGATGGTACAGTTCATCAACAGCCGTGTCTAGACTGGCTGGGAAGCTGTGTGGTTTCAGAGAGCATGCTGTTAGCCCCTGCACTACACAAAGGGTTTCCCCTGCATTACTACAACCAGAGGAAATTAAACAGCAGGGGAAAGAGAGAGAGTCTCAAAAGGGGGAGCTGTCCGAAGTAATTTCTGGAAAAAGCAAAAGTCCTAGGGTAGTTTTCTCTTTGGGCGGATACTTTGGATGAGAAGGGAGTTTTATCTGCTGGGACAGAGGAGCATTTGCAAAATTCTATTAATCCCCAGTGGGTTGTCTCCGTGGCTGTGACTGGATGACACTGTTACCACATTTTCTACTTAAAAAAAAAAAAGATCCTAGGAAAATCAAATCACTGTCTCCAAAATATGAGAATCCCAGACCTCTGACTCTCCCCAAGAGACTTTGATCTATTTAAACACACACCAAACTCTCCTGCCTTGCATTAGCAAAGGAAAGTTTAGAAAAACAAAATTAGATTTTACCTGCAATATGTTAAATGAAACCCTCCAAATTAGGCCCATTTTAAAAGATAATTTAATGTTAAGTTTTTTACTTATTTAAGAGCAATTCCATTCCACCCACTTTGCCTATTAGCATATCAGATGTTCACAAGCACACTAATAATATTAAGGGTGCTTCACCTACTCCATTCTTCTCCTAGTCAATATGTCTTTTTAAACAGAGAAAAAGATCAAAAGAACAGCAAATTCCCCTGCATGGCAACCAAATCTGAAGATACATTATAATGACAAACTTTTCCTCAATCCAAAATGAACATGCTTCATTTCCCTCGTGCTTTATATCATGTTCATCTCTTTTGATAAATTCAGATCAGTCTGGATCCAAATAACGTAGAATATGTCCAGAGTGTCCATGGAGCTTTCTTTCACCTCTTTCAGTTCTGTCATCAGATGCTCAGATTGCCTGGTGCAGGGGAGAAAGATGAAGCGATAGGAAATCTACTTAATCAGTAAGAGTGCTTGTGAAATAATCACTCTTCTAAATAAGCAAGGTGGTAGATAGATAGACATTTTCATGCATGATCATCCTGGACAATTCTTAGGGGGGTGCTTGGAATGACAACTTGGGAAAAGTTGATCAGTCAGTAGTGTATCTCTGAAGCCGGTATATGCAGAGGCCCTGGGCTTGGCTTAAAGCTCTACAGACTAAAAAATAATAATTAAAATAACAACAGTAACAACTGCTAATACCCATTTGGGGCTTACCACTTTACATGAACAGTTTCATTTAATTTTCAAAACAGTGCTAGGCAGTAGGAACGATTACTATCCCCATTTCCATGTGAGAAAAATGAGACTCGAAAGGGTTCATTTGGGAATGCTGATCAATCAGTGATGTCTTCTGTATATGGGTGTGAAAGGGAGGGGCAGAGATGCAGTTTGGGGAATGGTATAATATGTCAGATTAGATGATGACGTCATCAACCTCAGCTAACTTCTGCTGTACAGAGATTGGGTTTTCCGTAAGACACTCTTATTATTTCCTCCCAAGATTTCTGTATATACATTTTCTGTCCAGGACTCAGAGTAACGGATACAGTTTGTAATTGTTTAGAGTGCTACACTAACTGCTGTATATCTACCCAATGAATCCCTTTATGACCAGCCCCAGTGCCATCACCGTAGCAATTGTACTACGAGGTTGATGACATCATCATCTAATCTGACATATTATACCATTCCCCAAACTGCATCTCTGCCCCTCCCTTTCACACCCTCACTTGTACTTAACTCACAAAACAATCACCTTCCCAGACTCCATGAACCAACTCTTAAGCCCTACCATGCCTCTCCTCACTATTAACAAAGGAACCATTTTAAAATAAAAACCTGGTCAAATTCTTTCAGACACTCTCTTACTCACATACCCGCAATCTCCCATGGAATCATTCTCTCTCGCCGCAATAAGTAATCAACCCATTGGTTCAACTATAGGTGTGTTCCTGGTGGCTTTTGCCTGTGGAGAAGCTAATTTCAACATGCGTAGGTCTATTTATTTTTAAAATTTATGTGATAGCATTCCACTGTATGAATGTACCATCTTTATTTAACTGAACATCTATTTATAGATATTTTGATATCTCTAATGATAGTGCTATGAATACCTGTGTTAGTTCTTGCACTGCTGGAAAGAAATACCTGAGACCGGGTTATTTATAAGGAAAGAGGTTTAATCGGCTCATGGCTCTGCACACTGTACAGGAAGCATGGCAGCTTCCGGGAAGGGCTCAGGAAACTTTCGGACATGGCAGAAAGCAAAGGGGAAATAGGTACATCTTACTTGGCTGAAGCAAGAGGAAGAGAGAGAGTGAGGCGATGCCACACACTTTTAAACAACCAGATCTCATGAGATCAGCACAAAAGTGTTGGCACTAAACCATTCATGAAGGATCCTCCCACCATGATCCAATCACTTCCCACCAGGCACCACTTCCAACATTGGGGAATACAATTGAACATGAGATTTGGGTGGGACACAGATTCCAACTATATCAATACCCTTCTATACATACTTCTGTACAATTGTCTAGTTATTCCCTGGGAGACACTCCTAAGAATATAATTGCCGAGTCAAAGATTACACTTATTTTCATTTCATTTTAAAGTAGTTTTTTACGCTGTAAGTGTAATATATGATCTTGGCAAAAAGTAATAAATCAAAAGTTCGGATGAACATAAAGTTACAAATAAAAGCCCTGTTTTTCTTCCCCATTTCCAGGATTATTCCTTAGAGACAACCATGTATATCCTTCCATAATGTTTGCCCAAAGAAAAAATAAATGTAATTGTTGTTTTTATATACGCACGCATATATACACATATGCATAAGTATAGCTACATATAGTCTATTTTTTGAAAAAGGCTACAATATATGTTATACCTGCATTCAATTTTGATTCATATTGCAAAACTATCGATAGCCACATTTACACTCCTACCAACAGTATACGAGAAGTCTATTTTTCAGCATCTAAACTTAAGATGTAGAATATGAGGAAGAAAAAATAAAGGCTAATGTCTCTTAGCTTTGGCTTCCTTATTTTAAAAGTCAGCTAATAATATCTATTTTGCATGTCTGTTTGTGAGCATTAAATGATATGATATAGAAAGAGAAATTCCATACATTTTGCCTGGCCCACAAAATATGTATGAATAAATGATAATAATTCATATTGTTACTGCTATTATTATCATTTGGTTTATCTGACACATCAAATTACTTTTACGTAGTGATCCTAGTTCTATCTTTTAATGTAAGAAAATAAATTTAACTTTTCTAGCCTTAAGACCTTGAGTTACAACCTTTAATAACAAAGGGATAGGAAATTTAAGTGATATGAGTCGAGCAGGCTACAGTCTCTAGGGAAAACATACATATCTTCTATACTATCTTGTTAATCAGTCATCTGACTACAATTTTCTATTGATTCTTTCCTTGGAAAATTTGAGAATATTCTAACACCCAGAACTTTGACACACAGGCACTTGATAAATGTCTCCAGATTATATCTTAAAGAGCAATAATGCAATTTTGGAAAAAAATAAAGAGGCAGCCGATTGGAGGCTCTGAAGGATGAACAGATAGATTTCATGGGCCCATTTCCCTATTACAGAAAGAGATATTTATTGCCTGCAGCACAGCTGAGGGATTGCATTTGGAAATGCCATAGAAAGTAGTCTGTGGCTGAGGTTCTGGGGCTCAGCCCAGGATAAGACATTTGGCAGGTTCAGCCCCAGAATGGCAGGAAGCCTGCTTTCCAAACAGCAGCTGCAAAAAGAGACTTAGTTTGTTAAAACTTATTTGGCCTTATTCTCATCTCCCGCTGCACCCCTTCGGCACTCTCCCAGGCATAGTGCTGTCTTTGTAATCCAAGATAGGGGAGCAGGGAGGGAAAGAAAGGAGGGGAAAGAGGAAAGGCGAGGGGCAAAGGGAGGGAGAGGGTGGGAGAAGGAGGAGGGGGAAAGAAAGGAACTGGGGCAGAGAGAGAGCTGGAGAGAGAGAGAGACAGAGACGGAGACAAAGACAGAAACGGAGAAAGGGGAAATCCCTGAAGAAAAGACTGGAATTCACTTCCTGACAATAAAAGCCATTCTCAAAATAATACTGACAAATGGATCTTTTCCACACAGGAAACCTGAGGCTTTCTGCATTCAGGCCTTTACTCTGAATCTATAGATCCATTGATATTGGTATTATTACTACCATCATTATTTCCTTCATCCAAGCTCTTGATTTCTATTCTTTAATAAAAAATAAATTTTTAAATAATAATTTTCCCTTTTTCAGAGGAACCTGCAGAGCAGTAAATTATCCTAATATTACCCTGGAGGTAGGTGACTGAGGGGATACTGGGAAACAGATTCCCAGTGTTACCAGACAGGGGTCCCTATCCAGACCCCAAGAGAAGGTGCTTAAATCTCGTGCAAGAAAGAATTCAGGGTGAGTCTACAGAGTAAATGAAAACAAGTTTATTAAGAAAGTAGAGGAATGAAAGAATGGCTACTCCATAGACAGAGCAGCCCCGAGGGCTCCTTCTTGCCCATTTTTATGGTTATTTTTTGATAATATGCTAAACAAGGGATAGATTATTCATGCTCCCCTTTTTTAGACCATATAGGGTAACTTCTTGATGTTCTTATGGCATTTGTAAACTACCATGGCACTGGTGGGAGTGTAGCAATGAGGATGATTGAAGGTCACTTTTGTGGCCGTCTTAATTTTGGTAGGTTTTAGCCAATTTCTTTACTGCAAACTGTTTTATCACCAAGGTCTTTATGACCTGTATCTTGTGCTGACCTCCTAGCTCATCCTGTGACTTTGAATGCCTATCCATAGGAGAATGCAGCTCTGTAGGTCTCAGCCTTTTTTTTTTTTACCCAGCTCCTATTCAAGATGCAGTTGCTCTGATTCAAACTCCGCTGACTCCAGGATCCCAACCCGATGCTCCCTCTCCAAAGCCAGGCTTTCTGATGATCTATCTCCATTTTGTCATTTCCTTGCTACATTGATCATACCAATGATGACATTATGGATGTCATCAAAGAACAGCTGAAAACAGGAACAGCTCGATAAACCAGAGCCCGGGTTCCATGAACAGGTCGTCTGGGTGTGAGTGTGGGCTTTGTCATATATCAGTTGTGTGACTATAAGAAAGATCCTGACCTCTCTGTGCCAATATCCCAATATCCAAAATGGGAATGGTCATCATATATACCTAGTAGGGTTATTGTAAGAATTAAGCAAGGCCAGGCGCAGTGGTTTATGCCTTTAATGCCAGCACTTTGGGAGGCCAAGGCAGGTGGATCACCTGAGTTCATAAGTTCAAGAGAAGCCTGGCCAAGATGGCGAAACCCTGTCTCTACTGAAAATACAAAAAAAAAAATAATACTTAGCTGGGCATGGTGGCACATGCCTGTAATCCCAGTTACTAGCGGGGCTGAAGAGGAGGATCGCTTGAACGTGGGAGGCAAGGTTGCAGTGAGCTGAGATCCTACCACTGCACTCCATCCTGGGCAACAGAGTGAGACTCTGTCTCCCGCAACCCCCTTCCAAAAAAAAAAGAATTAAGCAAAATAATGCTCACGAAGCACTTAGCATAGAGCGTGAAACATACTGAGTACCTAATAAATGCTGGGGAGATGGTAATATTTAGAAACTAATGAATTAGTATCAGATAATGTAGACAGGATTTTTCAGTTACATAGCAGATCCTGAAAAAATATTCTCATAACCTCCACTTGATTTTTTACAAAAAAAAAAAAATTTAAATTGTCTAGAGCTAGGGAGGACAGTTGTTCCAAAGAAACATGCAGAGGGCAAACTTTGGTCTGTATTTAGCTGAAGTTCTCCCAATCTCCAAAGATTAGGCATGGGAGGTGCCCTGAATTCACTTCTTAAGGGCA